TGCGGCAGGGCCCGGGGGCAGCCGGGCTGCCTCACCCACCCGGCTCCCTGTCGTGCTGGGGCGTGAGGAGGCAGCACTTCTCAGGAGCTGCGCGGGGGCTCCTTGCCCTGTGGAAGCTGGGATCCTCGCGTTTGCACTGGACGGGTGGTGCCGGCGCTGAATCCTGAGGCCGGCGGGGCGGTGGCAGGCCCTGGCGTGTGGGATGCAGGTGAGGTGAGGCTCGTGCTGGTCTCTGCCCTGCTTGTCACTTTCTCTGCAGTTGCATGTGGTGCCCTGGGATGGTAAGTCAAGGCAGCTCTCACCTCCTGTCTGACTGGCAGGAAGCTGGAGGAGGTGTTTCTGGGACACAGTGGCGGCTCCCGGTTGGGTTGCCCGGTGCAGGTAGTCCAGGCTCACCTGGGGGGCTCCTCTCGGCTCAGCGGGTCTTCAGCCGGACCGCCCGCTGTGGCGTCCACATGGAAGGGCGGATGGGAGCTGCCAGGAGCCATCCTCATCTCCGATCAGCTCTGCCAGGGGCTGCGGGTCACGGCACGTGTGGAACTGGTGGGGGCCCGCCCTCCTGAGTGGGGGGCCGGGGCGTCCTGGGCGTGGGGAGCACTGACCGGGCTGGCCGATGTGCGGGGTCGGGTGTGGTGGGTTAGGAGAGAGCTGTGGCCTCCCGAGCCGGTGGCCGTGCGTGGGGGGCTCGGACGGGCCGGAAAGAGCAGAAGCGCCACTCGTCACTCGGCCGGCGGGAGGCTGAGCCAGCAGCCGTGTGGCGTTCACGTCCCCGTGGGCTCTGTTATGTCCAGCCACATTGTTTGTCCTTTGGTCCAGTTTACAAATTCCTTTTGAGCTGAGGTTTAAATTGATTCGGGGAACCCATGCAAATCTCCAGGAGAACAGCTTAAAAAATTAATGGCCTGTGAATTAAAGCATTTGTAGCTTGACTAGATTAGATGAAAAAGACAATTGTAAAATTGTTTTGTTTTTTTTTTTTAAAAAAAGCAATAAAATCCTCTTCCTCTCCGGATGGGGCTGCACCCAGGGAGAGACCCCAACCTCCGAACTCAGCTGCTTCTCCCGTTCCCACCCGGGGGTCTGTCCCCCACCGAGCTCCGCTGGGAGCGCCCACAGCCTCCCCGGGAAGAACCTTCTGGTCGTTTCATGTTCCTGAGAACCGCAGGGGGCGGAGCTCCTGGCCACACGGACCACCTGGGCTGGGCCCTGCCAGTCCTGCGCCACGGTGGGAATCTCAGTGGGTGCGTTCCACCGAGTCTCTGCCCCTGGGGACGCAGGTTCAGTGGCGCTCATGTCAGGATCACGCTAGCGTTGTTTCCGCTCACGCCCTGGACCGAACGTGCCTTGGTGGTCCTCGCAAGGTGCCCTGTAACTCCAGATTCGGGAGGACCCGAGGGAGGTTTGGGTGAAGAAGCCACCGTCCGCTGGCTGTGGTGACGCTGGGGCCTGCCCACCTTCCCGCCCTGTCCCCAAGGGGTGCGTCCGGCAGCCCAGTCCTGGCTGGCCACCTGCACTGCCGCTGCTTCCCTCGAGCCCCGCCTGCCCTCCGAGTGGCCACGCCCGTCCTCCCCCTCGGCCACCCCGCCCCCAAGCCTGCGGGGCTGCCGCCACCGAGCTGGCCTCCAAGTGCCCCTCGAACCCAGACCCCACGACCTTCCAGGAGCTCAGGTGGCCCCTTCCGCCTCAGTGGGATGTAGACCTTCCCCAGGGCCTGCCTGCATCAGCCCCACGGCCTGGCTGTCCCGCGGCTGCACGGGGGTGTCCCGGCCGTGCCTGCTGCCCCAGCAACGGATGCACCCGTAGGAACGCTTGGCCTGTCGTCATAGTTCAGAAGTTGTCAGAAAGGCCACCTTAGAAGTTGTGTTCTGTTCAGTGTTTACAGCGATTAACCACTGGACGTTTCTGACGGTGGCCCGGCCGCTCTGTGAAGAATCAGAGATGAGAGGTGTAGGGCCCAGGTGAGCGGCGGTGGTGGCCTTGGGCCCAGCACCTCCGGCACGGCTTGTTTCCGAGTGAGCGCTCGGGTCGCGTGGCGCATGCCACCAGCAGGGGTCACGCCCGACCCCCCGTGGGGCCGGCGAGTTGGTCCCTGGGAAACACAGCGGCTCACGGCGTGAGGCAGGATGGCGGCGGCGTTAATGGCGTTCCACTCAGCTGGACAAGAGAGCCCGAGACAGAGACGTCGCAGGCCGGCCCTGCCCGTGAACACGGACGCAGCACTCTGCGTGAATCAGCGAGCGTGCCGTGCGTGTGTCGGCTCAGAAACGCAGACTCGATCTCATCCCTGGGAAGCAGAAAGGCAGGCTCCCCGCGGAGGCTGTGAAGTGGCTGAGCAGGTGGGCAGGTCGAAGGAGAGGAAAGTCCCGAGCACGTCTATGGTGTGGAAGCGGGAATGAGGGACCCCGGCCGGCACCCCCGGCAACATTTCTCCTTAAGACAGTGTCTCACACGGTGACACTCGCAAACGCAGGACGGCGACCCCACAGCCATGAGAAGGCAGCTCCGGGCCTGCCCCTCCCGCCCCGTCTCTGGGGAAGCGGGTGCAGCTTGCTCCCGGCCGTGTGTACGTTACTCCTGCCAGTCGCGCGAGGTGGGCCAACAGCGGTGTTTTATAAAACTGGTGTTTGCCCACACGGTTTTTCCATTTTGCTGTGTTTTGCCATAAAAACAATCAGAAAGGAAAGAGGAAATGGGTAAGACCCAGTCCTCCCCTCCGTGTGGGCTGGGGTGGCCATTGCCACCCGTCCTGCTCATCGAACCTGCGGTTTATGTCCGTAAAGTCTTCTCACGCGATAGCAGGTAAAAAGCTTTCGATATGTCGAGCCCCACACCAGATTGAAAAAACATGATTTAAAACGCTGGGGTTGTGCTTCACCAACCAGGGGAAGGAGCGGGAGATTTGCAGCCAACTGGTGTCTGTCTGGTGCTCGTCCGACGAGAAGAGGATCTGATGTGAACGCAGAAGAGGCAGCCAGCGGCGCGCTGTAGGCTGTGATCCTCTACTGAGTGTGTCCCGGTCGTGCCACGGCGGTTTTGTGTCTCACGGTCTAGGGAAGTGTCCTGAGCTGCGCGCTGTGGCCCAGGCCCGGCCAGGCCCCAGGCTCACCTTCTCCAGGCTGCCTGGCCTCTGTCCACCCAGCCTGCGAGGCCACCCTGTGGGGCCAGCCTGCAAGGCCACCCCGTGGGACCAGCCTGCGTGGCCACCCCGTGGGGCCAGCCTGCAAGGCCACCCCGTGGGACCAGCCTGTGAGGCCACCCCGTGGGGCCAGGGGCTGGCTGCGGGCGCCCCATGGCGGGGAAGACGGCGATTTCAGCAGCGGAACCCCATAGTACCCTCCGTCCTGGGCACCGTCCGGTCTCCGCCCTGCCCTGCAGGCAGGTGACCACCTTCAGTCAAGGACACCAAGGCTCAGAGAGCTCAGGTGACTGTCCCCAGCTCCCAGCGGCTGAGCAGCATCTCGGGGATTAGAACTCAGAGCTCCTGCCAGAGCCAGCCGGCGGCCTCGGGCAGCATTTCCCAGCCCTGCTTGTCAGAGGAAGGCCAAGTCCTGGGACCAGGGCTCCAGCACCCTGGGATTGCTTTGTACCGAGAGGCGGTTGCCACTCACAGGCCACGGGCCGTTCTGCTGCAATTGCCGGGCTCTGAAACTGTGGGGCGCAGTTTCCCCTAGGAACTGGGTTATGGCTGGGACCTGGTCTCAGGCCATCCAGCTTCTAGGAGGGAAAGGCCCCTGGGAGGGGTCACGTCTTGGGGCACTCAGGTGGGCCACTCTCAGGGAGGCACCAGGACAAAGTCAAGCACGTGCAGTGCTCAGCCTGAGAGTGAAGAGCTGGGCTTCTCAGTGGGCCTCATTTGTTGGTCCAGGCCCCCCTCTGAGCCTGAGTCCCTGCTGGAGGGGAAGCCCGCCCCCTCTCCCTGGGCCCCGCCCTCTTTCCCTGGGCCCCGCCCCCTTTCCGGGCCCTGCCCATGCATGACAGGTGGTGAAGAAATGAAATGGGGCGTGCAGAGCTTGGGGAGGAGGCTGCCAGGGACCTCCCAGAGGGAGCCTGTGGGAGGCCAGCAGCTGGCCGGGCTCTTACCTGGACGCCTAGTGATGGTGTCAGCAGAGCCACCTGTTTGACAAGTGCCACTGGAGTGTCACTGGGCGGTGCTCGGAGCCACCGTGGCTCAGAGTGCCTGCCTGCGCACACATGTGCTCTCACAACATACACCTGTCGTAAAAGGAGCGCATACATCAGATTATTTGTGATGTCTGTAATCTAAAACTTTCTTTCTGCATTGCTTTTCTCACTTTAATTTGGTCTTGATCTGTGGGGACTAGGATTGATTTAGCTCTGTCTCTAATGAGAATCACTTGTGGAGTTCTTTCGGCGGCGCACGAGCACAGCGTAGAAAATCCATTTCTCTGTGAAGCGCAGACACGCCCGCACTCGTGCTGAGAGCAGAGCCCGTCTCATTGGCTGTGGCCGGGTAAACACGTTTGCCAGGGGGCACGCTCCTCGCCATGGAAACTGGCTCCCAGTCCCAGCCTCCGTCTGGACCACTTCTGGGGCACACGCTGTTCCGTGGTTCACACACGCAACTCTTCGGTGCAGGGAGGAAGGGGAGCAGCGGGCTGGCCGGCCTGTCAAAGACGGGCGCGAGCGGGTTTCCTTGGCAAGCTGGAGCCCTTTTCTTTATTTTCCCCTGTATTGACATTCAGCAATGACGCCAGCAGGCCTCTGGGCCTGCCGCAGGTCCTTTGAGAGGGCAGGCCTCCCGTCTGGGAGGGTGGGCAGGGGGAGAGGGTTGTGGAGTGTGTCCTGGTCTGACCTCCCGCTGGGTTTGGGGGTTTTCGAGCCTGAGGAGTGGAGCCCTCCGGAGCCTCCGAGTGTCGAGTTCTGAGCATGTTGGGGCAGGGGGCGGGGACGTGTCCAGACGCCGGCCGTCCCCGGCCCTCGGGCTCCACGGCTGGAGCGGGCGGCGGTGACCGGCTCTCCTGTGCTTGCTCTCCCCGCAGTGGACGTGGCCACGGCGCTGCCCCTGCAAGCGGCCCCCTCGGCAGTGCCCATGGACCTGCGCCTGGACCACCCGTTCTCGCTGCCCGTGGCGGAGCCGGCCCTGCGGGAGCAGCAGCTGCAGCAGGAGCTCCTGGCGCTGAAGCAGAAGCAGCAGATCCAGAGGCAGCTGCTCATCGCCGAGTTCCAGCGGCAGCACGAGCAGCTCTCGCGGCAGCACGAGGCCCAGCTGCACGAGCACATCAAGGTGAGTCCCGCGCCTCGGGCACGAGGGCTCGGGCGCCGCCGTGGCCTGGGCAGCGCCCTCCTGGGGCTCCTAGGGGTGGTTCCTGGTCCCCAGGCGTGACACTGGGGTTCGGGTGCGAGGTCGTGCTCACTGTGGTGTCACACCAGATGACGGCACCTGCGCACTCAGCAGCAGGCAAAGCTGGCGTGAGTGGTGGAGGGTACAGTGTGGGCTGTGCAGGTGCAGCGTGGGGTGCGCAGGTGCAGCGTGGGGTGCGCAGGTGAGGTGTGGGCTTCGCAGGTGCAGTGTGGGGTGCGCAGGTGAGGTGAGGGCTGTGCAGGTGCGGTGTGGGGTGCACAAGTGAGGTGTGGGGCTGCACAGGTGCAGTGTGGGATGCATAGGTGAGGTGAGGGCTGTGCAGGTGCGGTGTGGGGTGCACAAGTGAGGTGTGGGGCTGCACAGGTGCAGTGTGGGATGCACAGGTGAGGTGTGGGGCTGCACAGGTGCAGTGTGGGGCTGCACAGGTGCAGTGTGGGATGCACAGGTGAGGTTTGGGGCTGCACAGGTGCAGTGTGGGGTGCACAGGTGAGGTGTTGGGCTGCACAGGTGCAGTGTGGGGTGCACAGGTGAGGTTTGGGGCTGCACAGGTGCACTGTGGGCTGCACAGGTGAGGTGTGGGCTGTGCAGGTGCATCATGGGGCTCACTAGTGAGGTGTGGGGCTGCACAGGAGAGGTGTGGGCTGTGCAGGTGCAGTGTGGGGTGCACAGGTGAGGTGTGGGGCTGCACAGGTGAGGTGTGGGCTGTGCAGGTGCAGTGTGGGGTGTACAGGTGAGGTGGGCTGCACAGGTGAGGTGAGGGCTGTGCAGGTGCGGTGTGGGGTGCACAAGTGAGGTGTGGGCTACGCAGGTGTGGTGTGGGGCTGCACAGGTGAGGTGTGGGCTGTGCAGGTGCAGTGTGGGGTGCACAGGTGAGGTGTGGGGCTGCACAGGAGAGGTGTGGGCTGTGCAGGTGCAGTGTGGGGCTGCACAGGTGAGGTGTGGGGCTGCACAGGTGAGGTGTGGGCTGTGCAGGTGCAGTATGGGGTGCACAGGTGAGGTGGGCTGCACAGGTGAGGTGTGGGGCTGCACAGGTGAGGTGTGGGCTGTGCAGGTGCAGTGTGGGGCGCACTGGTGAGGTGTGGGGCTGCACAGGTGAGGTGTGGGCTGTGCAGGTGCAGCATGGGGCTCACTGGTGAGGTGTGGGGCTGCACAGGTGAGGTGTGGGCTGTGCAGGTGCAGCATGGGGCTCACTGGTGAGGTGTGGGGCTGCACAGGTGAGGTGTGGGCTGTGCAGGTGCAGTGTGGGGCGCACTGCTGAGGTGTGGGCTGTGCAGGTGAGGGATGGGGTGCAGCATGGGGTGGGGCGTGGAGCAGGGCGTGGGGTGGGGCGCTGCGTTGTGAACTCGTGAAGTAGAAGCACATTTAAAGTAGGGTTCGTCACCTAATTCCATTTAAAGAGATGTCCGTAATAGAAAAGTCACCAGCGGGAAGAGGGACCAAAATGTTAATGATCATCTCTGGGTGGTGTGTTTATAAATCATCTTTATTTTATTCTTGAGACTTTTCTGTCTTTTCTCAGTTTCTCCCATTAACCTTTTATAATTGAGAAAAAGATATTTTCTTTTAATTTAAATGGAGCAAGTCAAAGCTAACAAAGACCTTTTTTCAGTACTTACTCTCTGCAAATATTTAACCTGATACCGGATTCTGAGATGAAGTGAACGGGGCCTGAGTGACATGTGGCACAGCCGTGCTGCGCAGCAGGCAGGGCGGTTGTGGCGTCTGTGGCTGTGTGTCCTCGCTGCATTTAGGGCCGTAGAGAGCAGCACTGCCCGATAGAAATATGCAGGGTGCGCTGAAACTGCACAGGTGATCTTTAATGTGCTAGCAGCCACATTAAACACAGCATACACCGCCACGAGCACCAGGCTGCATAAGTTAGCTGTCGCTGTGTAACAAAAGCTCCCCAGCGTCAGGGCTCGGTGCCAGCCTGGCTCGCGGCTCCGGCTCGGGTCTCTGGCTGGGTTGCGGGCGAGATGGCAGCAGGGGCAGGGGCTCATCTGAGGGTGACCGACCCAGACAGGGATCTGCTTCCGCGCTCACTCTCGGGGGCGTCCCCGGGGCTGCTTGAAACATAGCAGCCGGCGCCCAGAGTAAGTGGCCGAGAGACCGAGGCTGAGACGGAAGCCACAGAGTCCTTTGTGGCCCAGCCTTGGACGTGGCAGCCCCACGCCACGCTGCCCCATTCTGTCTGTCACAGACTGAGCCCAGCATGTCCTGGGAGGACCTAGACAGGGTGGGAAACCAGGAGACAGGGATTGCTGGGGGCCTTGGGGGCCTGGCTGAGGAAAGGAAAAAGTGATTGTGTCGTGTTTTACGTAGCCAAGTATTTCCAAAACACCGCTCCAGCACGTGCGCAGAGTGAGCAGTTCCTTGTGAGCTACTCCGCATTCCGGGGTGCGCCCCGAGTCTCAGCAGAGCACGGGATTGGACGAGGAGGGCACGTCCTGGTCCGGGCCGGTCGCGCTTTGAGCCCCGTGTGGTTCCGGGCTGCCGCCTTGGGCGGCGCAGAGCAGAGCATCGAAAGGCCATGACAGTGCCTTGCCTGGCGCTTCCAATGTGCTCTGTGGCTAGAGCTCCACGCAGCCCCCGCAGGGGACACTGATCAGCCACAGCCTTGGCTGCCCAGGGCACTGGCCCACACCCGGGCGTCATGGTGCCCGCCTGGCACAGCGCAGAATGGCGGGTGCAGCCTCCTCTGCTTCCGCCCCGGCCAGCAGTCCCGCTGCCCCCCATGTGCAAGGGACGCCTTGTGCCACGCCGGTATTTAGTGACCACGTGGAGAAGTGGCGGTGGAGTGGCGCCGGTGCTGCCTGTGGGTGCGGCGGCAGGGTGCAGGGGAGGCTGCCCGCTTGCTCGCTGCCCAGCCGGCGTGTCACAGAGCCTGGCGGGCCCTCGGGACAGGCCCAGCATAGGCTCCGTGTCCCCGGTCACCGGTGCTAAGCCGTGCTGTGAGTTCCCGTGCTTCAGAGTCTAGCCGAGAGCTTTGTGCTCAGCCTACTCCGGCCTCGTGAGACTGGGGGTCTGGGGGTGCTCCTCCTGGCCCCTAGTAGCTGCTGTGGAGTCCAGGTCTTTGGGACTTGGTGGGTTGCTGTTTTTGTTGCTGGGGGAGGGGGTTGCTGCCTTGTGCCTCACTCCCCGGCCTTCCAACGCCAGCGTTGGGCTGACGAAGAGAGGACAACACTTCCTGAGCTGCTTGAAGTCCGGGCTCTGCTGGCTTCAGAGTTCCGGGCAACCTGGGGGTCGTGTGCACCAAAGACGCCGCGTGCCCCACAGAGACAGGCCCACCAGCAGCTACGGCGATCCTGTCCTTTTTGACACGCCCGCTCGGGCTTGGGCTGGGCCCACTGAGGGCTCCATGGCCCTCTCTCTCTGGACGCTCTTTCCGGCTGGTGGGAGGAAAAGGACACCACGGTGGTCCCTGGGGCTCGGGCCTGCGGGCGGCGTGGGCTTCACTCTGCTGCGGGCGGGCCAGGCCCTGACCGCGCCTGGCTGCCTGCAGGGCTGGTGTCGGCCCGGGAGAGGCCGTCTCAGGCCGGCCACCGGAGACAGGCGCCCGCCGGGCGAGTGCGGGTCAGGGAGTCCCCCAGGAGTGCTGCAGCCCTCCAGGGTTGAGAGCCCTGGCCTGTCACTTCCGTGACTCCTAAAAGCAGTTTCAGAACCTGTGAGTCGTGGCTTGTTTCCGTCCTGCGCTCCGCAGCCAACCGGGCCCAGCAGCCCCGTCTCCACGCAGCCTCCCGCCTGTTCCCCGGCCGCCCTCACCTTCGCTGAGTTCTGGAAACGGGAGGGAAGGGGTGCCCCGCTGAGCACGCCCCCTCTTTACCCATACTCTGAGGCGGCCACCAGCGTCCCGGGCACCCCTCCACGTCCCTCTGGCGCCCGTCTGCCACCAGCCCTGGCATGCCGGGGGCTGTGCGGGCACGTCCCTCCCTGCAGACCCGCCTCGGAGCCTGGCAGGGGACATTTCTCTGTATTCTCACCGCCCGTCCTAACGCTCCTGTCCTTGGCTGCTGGTACAAATGGGTGACTGGACTCACCTAAGCCTGCCGGGACAGGGCCCAGTTGAAGACAGCTGTCACTGTCCGTGCTGTCTTCGTGTTTGTTGAGTCTATAGCTTTTACAAGAAAAAGACACTTGAGTCGGTTCCCGCGGCCTCAGCTGTGTCCCACCCCCAGGCCCCCCGGCCACCTCCCTGGCGCCTCCGGAGTTGCTTCCCTGCCTGGGCCTGGGAGGGGCCCTTGTTCCGCCTCCTGCGGGCCACGGTGGGCCACGCTTCCCACGCTGGGTCCCCGGAGAGCTCCCTCCCTCACCCCCGGGCTGGACCCTCCCAGAGGGGACCGGAGCCCCCAGCTCCCTGGCTGCGGAGCCGTCTCCGGCCAGGGCCGCAAGAGCACAGAGAGACGCTCAAGGTTACATTTGTCTTTTAGTCATTTCATTTTTTCGTTAACACGGAGATCATAAAAAGCCATTCGAAATCCGTCACCGTGCCGTTCTATTAGTCGGCTTTTGTTTAGACAGTTCAGACTCTCTTCATAAGCCGTCATATTGTTAGTGGCATTTTGGCAGTGGTGTTTGTCAGACAGATTTCTTGAACACAAAATCTAATTAGTGTCATTAAATTATCAGTGAATTTGAATAGGACTTTATAATTGAGAGGGAATAGTCTTCAAAATATAACTTAGGTGGTTAATGTTGGGTAAATAAGATCCCTTATAAGGGTTCTATGTTCAGCACATCCGTAATCTCCGGTTCCTTGCTGTTCACCCTCATTTCGACACCCGGCCCGTCTCCTCCCCAGACGGTGCTCGTCTCCCCAGGGCTGCATCCCAGGTGAGCACGGAAGCTCCGCGCAGCTTCTGCCTGACGTCTCCGGAAGGGCGTGGGGTGGTGGCTGGATACGGACGTCATAGCGCACAGGGAGG